ACCTATGTGTCAGGTGTTGGCTCACAAAAACAAGTATCAGATAAAATCTTCAGCAGGCATTTTATTAAGCAAAAACAAAACACTCAGGAGTACTCAGAACAAATCAGGATAAACACAAACCAAATACAGATATAAGAACGGACAAAGAAAGACTGAAACCGAGGGCTGAAACCTGTTTTTCAGTCTATGGTATATGCTTTTGTTGTCAAAATCAGGGTTAATGTTTGCCTTCCAAAATGTATCCTCTAGACTTTAAAGGTGGATTGAAACATGATCAAAATATTATTTTTTTGCTAAAGTTCTAGAAATATGATTGATTGAATCATTCAAATGAAATGATCCAAAACGACTGAATATATTAGAAATGAAGCAAGTGACTATCTATGAATGAATCCTTGAATAATTGGCCCACTCAATTAGTCCAAAAACAGATTTATTCAGGAATGAAACACTTGTATACAATTAATATTACATTTGCAATAGCGCAAATGTGATGATATTCAGCAAAGCACGCTTTCTTGAGTGATAAATCTGAAAAATAAAAACTCATACAGGGGTATTTATTTCGTTCATTACTTGAATTATAAAGGCATTATATTCTTATAAGCTTCATCACACAGTGTATTATTTTGGACTTTGAAGACCAATGCTTTTGCAGAGTCAGTGACAAAGTAACTACTTGAAATAAAATGGGGGAAAAAAACGACTTCTCTAATACTAACGTTCTCAATTATTTACACACACAGACTCTCTCTCTCTCTCACACACACACACACACACACACAGTAGAGTACTAGTGAATCCACACCAGAGCTTTCTGCAAGAAGAAATCATTTCTGTTAACTAATATTGGTTGTAGGTTCAGTGCGTCAGCTGCTGACGCGATGTCGAGTGAAGTAAAATCGAAACTGGTAGTAACAGGTGGAGACAATCTGAGCCGTTTCAGGGCAAGAGAATGCCCTTGATCCGATTAAACAGAAAAAAACACATATAGCTTTCTGCAACTTTCAACAAATTAAGAACTTTTCAAGACAGTTATAAATGCAAAATATGACCCTTTTCACATCGCATTTCACCAAATCTGAGTTCCAGAACTACTGATAAGCAAACAAATTATTTCAACCAAGAACAGCAAAATAAAGTCGAAATTATTTGCGACGTCTTTTTACAAATGTTGAAAAAGCCGTGAGCATTTCTGAATAGGCCTAAATAAGTAATCACGAGTCTATTTCGAGTCTATAGTCTCAGCAATAAAAAAATAAATAAAATCACGAGCAACCATGGGTCCAAGGGCAAACCACCTGTCGAGACTGAATCCATGGAGCTCTGGAACAATTTTACTGTCATTAATCGGTCCGAACGGATTCGATCGAGCATGAACAATTAAACACTGCAACGTGGATAAAAGCGTTTAACGTTAGCATTATTTCTGCAATGTAATAAAATTAGATATCAAATGTAGGCTATCCAAGTCCAAGTGGGTCAAAAATTACACTGAAGTCATATTTAATATTAATTCGAAAGAAATAGGCCATAATTAGAAATGAATAATCATGTAATTAGTAGTTGTATTATTATTATACATACATATTTTTTATATATTTAGTCTAAGGTGAAACCGAAATTGTTCAAACCAATATGAAGCTCTTACCATTCAAGAGTAGTAAAAACAAAACTATTCTGAAAGCGTGCTTCGTATCGCTGTACATTTGTAAGTATAAATATGATCCGGATTTCATAAATCGCTCCATCGTGTGTGTCTCCGTCTCTGATTTCCCTGTCCGACTGTCCAGGCTACGCCTCTGTAGGTAGGCTATTGTTGTTCAAAGATTTTCGGTTTCTTTTTTCGGTTATATATCCGCATCTGAATATTCGAGTCTCTCTCTCTCTCTCACACACACACACACACACACAGTAGAGTACTAGTGAATCCACACCAGAGCTTTCTGCAAGAAGAAATCATTTCTGTTAACTAATATTGGTTGTAGGTTCAGTGCGTCAGCTGCTGACGCGATGTCGAGTGAAGTAAAATCGAAACTGGTAGTAACAGGTGGAGACAATCTGAGCCGTTTCAGGGCAAGAGAATGCCCTTGATCCGATTAAACAGAAAAAAACACATATAGCTTTCTGCAACTTTCAACAAATTAAGAACTTTTCAAGACAGTTATAAATGCAAAATATGACCCTTTTCACATCGCATTTCACCAAATCTGAGTTCCAGAACTACTGATAAGCAAACAAATTATTTCAACCAAGAACAGCAAAATAAAGTCGAAATTATTTGCGACGTCTTTTTACAAATGTTGAAAAAGCCGTGAGCATTTCTGAATAGGCCTAAATAAGTAATCACGAGTCTATTTCGAGTCTATAGTCTCAGCAATAAAAAAATAAATAAAATCACGAGCAACCATGGGTCCAAGGGCAAACCACCTGTCGAGACTGAATCCATGGAGCTCTGGAACAATTTTACTGTCATTAATCGGTCCGAACGGATTCGATCGAGCATGAACAATTAAACACTGCAACGTGGATAAAAGCGTTTAACGTTAGCATTATTTCTGCAATGTAATAAAATTAGATATCAAATGTAGGCTATCCAAGTCCAAGTGGGTCAAAAATTACACTGAAGTCATATTTAATATTAATTCGAAATAGGCCATAATAAATTAGAAATGAATAATCATGTAATTAGTAGTTGTATTATTATTATACATATTTTTTATATATTTAGTCTAAGGTGAAACCGAAATTGTTCAAACCAATATGAAGCTCTTACCATTCAAGAGTAGTAAAAACAAAACTATTCTGAAAGCGTGCTTCGTATCGCTGTACATTTGTAAGTATAAATATGATCCGGATTTCATAAATCGCTCCATCGTGTGTGTCTCCGTCTCTGATTTCCCTGTCCGACTGTCCAGGCTACGCCTCTGTAGGTAGGCTATTGTTGTTCAAAGATTTTCGGTTTCTTTTTTCGGTTATATATCCGCATCTGAATATTCGAGTCTCCTCGTGACATGTCAACAACATTTCTGCCGTTTCTCATCCCCGCATCCGACTGAACACTCAGCTAACCATAATATAGGCTACAGTAGGCTACGTGCCTGCCACTCACTGAAATATGAGGTTCTAAAGCAGTCCATGCGATCCGAGAAAGTAGTGACTGGCGGGCGAGTATTTCACCACAGGGTGTCACTAAACAACCAATCAGTACTACAGTGTGTGAGGGACCTGCTGAAGCTCATGTTCACGTACGTAGATCAGAACAAAATACCTCTATATTTAATTGATTTAAATGTGACCATTTTACTATATGTAAATAGCATTTTATGATGAAATTTCCAATTAAAGGGGCACTTCGCTGGCAACCCTGTTGAAAAAACCAGCATATGCTGGTTAGGTATGTTTTGATGCTGGGATGCTGGTTTAAGATGGTCCTTTGCTGGTTTAAACTAAACCAGCATAAACAGACAGTTCAGGAGGCCATGGCGGAGCAGGGAACTCAGGGGGCCATGGTGGATCAGACAGTTCAGGAGGCCATGGCGGAGCAGGGAACTCAGGGGGCCATGGTGGATCAGACAGTTCAGGAGGCCATGGCGGAGCAGGGAACTCAGGGGGCCATGGTGGATCAGACAGTTCAGGAGGCCATGGCGGAGCAGGGAACTCAGGGGGCCATAGTGGATCAGACAGTTCAGGAGGCCATGGCGGAGCAGGGAACTCAGGGGGCCATGGCGGATCAGACAGTTCAGTAGGCCATGGCGGAGCAGGGAACTCAGGGGGCCATGGTGGAGCAGACAGTTCAGGGGAACCATGGCGGAGCAGGGAACTCAGGGGGCCATGGCGGATCAGACATTTTGGGGAGCCATGGCGGAGCGGCCTCTGTGGCCTTGGCCTCGGCACTCGGCCTGGCCTCTACGGCTGGAGCCCTATAGCCCCCCCCCCACATTTTTTTTTCAGATTCTGAGGCCCTCCGTGGGCCTGATTTAGGAGCAGGAGGTTTTGGTTTGAGGTGAGGGAAACAGCTGCTGTCAGCTGAGGGCTTGGGAGTGAATTGGTCGGCGGGCTTGACTGCGTAACAGCCGGTGGGCTTGAGAGTGCAGCGGCCAGCGGTCTTGACTTCCGAGCGGCCAGCGGGCTGGTTCTGAATCAGGGCCGGACACTCTCCAGACACTGGAGGATCCCTTCCCTCCAGAATCAGTCTACCGTTTTTAACAAATTGGTTGAATGAATGATTCAGTGACTCACTCATTAAGACAATGAAAAAAGTTCATTTCTGTTACTGCAGCAAATTTAACCGTACAGAAAATTAAATGCTTCGGGAACCTAGCAAAACTACTGTTTACAAAATCTAAACAAAAATAAAAAATGTTTTGGTCAACATTGCACACCCCTAGTCAGAAGTCAAATATGATTGACAGCTCACAACACTAAATAAAACACCAGCAGATACTGATTTCTAATCCAATATTTCACTCTTTTATTAGTTTTCACACAAGGCCAAAATTCATTTGAAAATGTAAGATCAGCAAAAGCTTCTTGATTTTCATGATATTAAAGGAGATGGACGTGTGAACGGAAACTAGCTGAGGTTGAGGGAGGACACAACCAGATAAATATCACAGTTCAGTTGGGAGTGTTTTCAGACATTTTAAGCATCACTGTTGTGGGTTTTTCAGTGAACCGATGAAGAAAATGTTTCTTATTACTGAACCAGTTTTGACGAGTTTGTCTTTTCGTATGATTTGTCGACTAAAACCATTAAAGATGTTTTGGATTGTTTCATTCTGTTTGTGTTTGTGGCGTCTGGATGGTGAGTTTGAAATGTGTTTTTATGATTTCAGTTGCTTCTGTTCTGGTAGCATGTAATAAATTACTGGTTAAATTAGTCAGAGGATTAACATTCACTGTTATTCTCATATAGAAATGCACCATGATACTAATCTGAGATCAACTTTGAATTCAAGTTATTCAGGTTATTCTGTTAGTTATTGATTCCATTAAATATGAAGCTTGAAACTCTTGGCAAAACTCTTGTATAAATCTCTTGTCATTGATAATCTTTTGTCATCTTTTTGTACTGCTGTAGAATATTGTTATTATTATTAATAGTATTTTATTGAAGCTTCATCAATTCAACATCAAATGGGTTTAAAGCTTAATCTGTAAAAAAACCTGTTCTTCAGGTGTGTTTGGTGATGAAGTGGAGTCAGTGGTGGGGGGAGATTCAATCACTCTAAACTCTGGTCTTACTGAAATAATGAGTGGTGATGAGATTCAGTGGAGGTTTTGGATTGAAAACACCTTAATAGCTGAAATCAATAAACGGGCTGACAGCATGACTGTATATGAGGATGTTCTTGATGGGAGATTCAGAGACAGACTGAAGCTGAACAATCAAACTGGATCTCTGACCATCACAAACATCAGAATCACAAACTTTGGAGTTTATCAGCTGCATAACAATTATATTATGGGGATTATGTTCTTTCTCCGTGTCCATAGTGAGTTAAATATCAGTTTAATCTGTTTAAATTTTTTATTTAAAGATGCAATAATTAATCCACACAGCATGTTGCTTCTTTTGTGTCTGTTCTGTTGCATGATATTATTAATTGCACATTTAAATATCTATTTACTTTCATAAACCATCTTAAAGTTGTTCAACAGTATTAATCTGTGACAAACCCTGTTTGTTTTGTGTGTGTTTGGTGATCCAGATGAAATATCAGTGAAGGAGGGAGATTCAGTCACTCTAAACAATCGTCTTACTGAAATAATGAGTGGTGATGGGATTCAGTTGACGTTTCGGAGTAAAAACACTTTAATCGCTGAAATCAATAAACCGACCGACATATTCACTGTATATGATTCACTGTATATGAAGATGTTCTTGATGGGAGATTCAGAGACAGATTGAAGCTGGACAATCAAACTGGATCTCTGACCATCACAAACATCACAACTGAAGATGCTGGAGATTATGAACAAATGACTAACAAACTGTTTGCGATTTTCAGTCTCACTGTCTATGGTGAGTGTATTATTGGTTTCATTTATTTATTGCAGCATTAAAGTAAATCTAAGGAAGTATCTAATTACTTAGAATTACAAATCAGCTTTTTTAGCTTTATATTTAACTTTCTATTAAATTGTTTTTAAATGCTCTTCTTTTGATCAGTCTTCGTTCCTCTCAAGGTTTTTTCCACAAGCTTGACTATATTCATTCATCTTCAGTTATCTTTATTCTTTCATGTTTTCAGCTCGTCTGCCTGTTCCTGTCATCAGCAGTAACTCTACACACTGCTCTTCATCATCATCATCATCATATTGTTCATTGGTGTGTTCAGTGGTGAATGTGACTCTCTCCTGGTACAAAGGAAACAGTTTATTGTCCAGCATCAGTGTGTCTGATCTCAGCATCAGTCTCTCTCTACCTCTGGAGGTGGAATATCAGGATAAAAACAGCTACAGCTGTGTGCTCAACAATCCCATCAGCAACCAGACTCAACATCTGGACATCAGTGAACTCTGTCAGACATGTTCAGGTACAGCAGAGCTGATATTAGTTGATGTCGGTGCTGATATTAATGTTTATTGACAGAGCTGATCTCAGTTTGATGTTTTTATTCCTCAGACTCTGTCCACTGTTGTGGTTCTACTAAAGCTGTGATCTGATTGGTCCTCTCTGCTCTGGTGGGCGTGGCTACTGTCATTCTTC